CGGACCTTCCGGACGCCCCTCCGCGTCAGTCTGCGTGTGGAGGACCGCCTCAGCTTTGGCACATACTGCTTGGCTTATCCTGTCCCACTCCGCCCGCGCTGGCGCCCAACACTGGCTGGTTTTCCCACCGCCAAAGCGGCAATAGGCCTCCTTCGGAGGGCTGCCTCCTTCGTCTGGACTTTCGCCAAGCACAGCTCATGGCGGTCTTTGTGGAATCGGTGGTCCCAAAAAAGGTCAACGGGAAAACGCCCGCGGTGCGTAAGGTGCAGAGACGCCACAATCGTCTCAATCCTACAGCTGCCCTCCTTCTAGTGAGTCAATGGCCCGCTTTCTTGGGCGCAGAGCCCTGGCCGGAGGAGTGCACCATTGGGAGTATCCCCTGCACAGCCTGTCGTGTGTTAAGGTGGGTGGAGCACTCGACGTTTTCTTGCAGGTCCTGAAAATGCCTGCGGCTAGGGTACCACTTGCTATTGGTATGCCTGTACGCCGGCGCCGCGGCCACAGTGTCACCTTGCGGCTGAGTTACATCTGGTGCTCACATTCCTGCAGGCAGTGGAGGCTGCAGCGATGGCGCCCCGCTTCCCACCGACCCCCGAGATGACACCGACGCAATATGTTGTCTTCCGCAAGCGGATTCTAGACCTGCGCTCCCTGGCAGAACAAGTTAATCCGCGGGACGCATTCCGCCGCGATTGGAGAATCAGCCATGCTCTGATTCCGGAAGAGTTCCACACCCTAGCTGCTCTCATGGGCGAGACTTTCTGTCGCAACATCGCAGGGCAGCTGGCCAGCCCTGACGGCCTCCTTATTGGACATATCACAGCAATCGTGACGGCGCGAGCCACCAGGCGCAGCTCATTGGGTATCCTTGGTTGTGCTGGGTCCTCCAAAACGTTCTCCCTGTGTGATGCCGTGTTAGAACAAAACGTGTGTTGGACTGCTCAGCAGCACTCTGCTCTCATTGCGGTGGTGCGCATTGCCACCAATCTGTTGGCAGATGCGCCCCAATGGCTGCGTCCACTGCTTGTTGTTCGGCGCGTCTCCGGCGATGCTGAAATGATTGAGCCGGACTTTGATCATGTGCCGTTCACGGAAGCGGCTGAGCACATGGCGGCCAGCTTGGGCGAAATTGCTACGGCCCGGCCTGAACCCAGAGTAACAGAATGTTCAATTTTCCCTCATGCCCGATTTAGCGCCAGTTTCACTGCGTATCTCCGTAGGTCAAACGTAGGCTCAAGACAGCCTGACAGCAGAGCGAGTAGTGAGAAAAGATTCCGAAGCTCGCGCCGTGCTGTAACAAGGATACTGTTTTAGGGGTTTAAACTTTCATGGTAGCGGAGCTGTTGGCAAAGGCCAGCAGCTGATCAAGCAAAGATCCAGGGAAGCCAGCCACGAGCTGGAAAAGGTGAAAAGTGTGGAACAGGAAGTTACGGTTTACCAAGAGCATCCTGTCGGAGAACAGCGAGGAGTTACGGCTAAGCCAAGAGCACCTTGCAAAGTCGGAGAAAAGCGTGGAAGTGAAGACCTTGGGCCAGATATACAAGGACCTGCCAAAGTGTTGAAAAGATGCAAGAGCAACAGCAAGCTCAACAAGCACAGCACCAGCCGAATCCCCAGCAGATGAGGTTGGAACAGCTGATGACTACACTAGGCCAAGCTACAGAAGCTATGGCAAGAGTTGCACAAGGAACGGCAACGCAGCAAGCGCAATTGTCGACAGCAATGGATGCACTGGCGAAAGCCCAAGCATCACCGAAGGCAGCCCCTACGGGAGGCCAGCCAGCTTCAGTAAGTTTTGATACTGGAGGTAAGATCCTCAAGCCACCGGTATCGTTTAATCCAGCCACGATTGAAGAAGAAGTGTCACAATGGAGTGACTGGTCATTTACGTTCAAGAACTTCTTAGCGTTCATGGACCAAGAATTCCTGAAGGACCTCAAGAAGGCAGAAGAACACGAAGGTGCGATATCAATGGAGGTGACAAATACATTCTTCAACAATGATCAAGGAAGAGTGAACAGAGGAACAAAGCTTTACTCAGTGTTAAGCAGTTACTTGAGAAACAGACCTCTGAAAGTGCTGAGAAGTGTAAGCGGGATGAATGGACTTGAAGTGTGGAGAAAGTTGACGGCTGAATTAGAGCCGACATCTCGTTCAAGGAGTCTAGCAATGGCTCAGGCATTGGTTGGATTCCCAGCCATGAGCAAAGGAGCATCGTTGATGGACTACGTCCTGACATACGAGAAGCTCACAGCAGAGTACGAAAAGCTCTCAGGCCAGAAGTATGATGAAAACTTGAAGATCGGTACACTGCTGAAAGGAATACCGCAGCACCTCAAGCAGCATGTGATGGTTGATATCACTGATAAGACCACGTACGAAGAGTTAAGAGCAAAGCTGCTACAATATGAAAGAAGCAATCAGACATGGTCAGCTGAGAACATTTTAGGATCGTTGAGTGTTCCAGACCCAACGTCACACTCAAGCAACAAGACTTAACAAGGACCAATCCCGATGGAACTCGATAGATTGCACATGAGGAAAGGTAAAGGAGATGGAAAAGGAAAAGGTGACAAAGGAGGAAAAGGAAGCCCTTATGGAAAAGGAAAGGACAAAGGAAAGGGCAGAGGATACGGAAAAGGAAAAGGTGGTAGAGGAAAAGCAAAAGGAAAAGGATATGGAAAGAAAGGAGGAAAAAGCATCAGGCAGGCTGAAGGAAAAGGCTACGAGAGTGACAAAGGAAAAGGAAAAGGTGGACAAAACGGACCTGTATGTTTCAATTGTGGTAAGACTGGACATTACTCTTCGGAGTGTTGGTCGCCACCGAAAGGAAAAGGAAAAGGAAAAGTTCGCAATGTCCAAGAGACAGGCGAAGAAGAATGGTATGAAGAGCAACCAAGTTCTTCTACACAGGCACAAGCAAAGCCACCACAAGGAGCAAAAGGAAATGAGCAAGTGCGTAGGTTGGTGACAACGCCTATGCCAGTGATTGAAGAAGTGCTCGACGATGAAGAAGAGTACGTCGATCTTGTAGGAATGTTCGAAGAGATGGTGATGGACTCTGCCGCAAGAGCAGCGAAGGTCAACACAGTTATCTTCATGTCAAGCATGGTCGATGAGAGTGATGAAGAAGATTATGAGAAGGATGAACTTCACAAGTGGTATGAAGATCTGCAAGTGGACAAGCAGAATGCCAAGCAGGTAAGAGAAAGAGAAAGACTTTTCGGAAGCGTTCAAGATGAAGATTCAGAGACAGAAGTTCTGTTGGATCAAGAACGACTTCAACGAGCAAGCCAAAGGCATCACGTGAGGACCGTTAACTCAAGCTATCAAGAACTAGCGGAAGTCGTGTTAGACAGTGGAGCGGATTGTCATGTACTTCCGCTATGCTACTACAGTGAAGACTTAGGAACAGTTGAGTTCCCAGCTTTGAGAATGGTCATTCAAGATGCTCAAGGCAACAGGATAAGAACCACTGAAACAAGAGCGAACATCACATTCGAATTCCAAAGAACAGATGGAAGAGTGATAAAGGTAAGAGATTCAGCTGTGTTCGGAGATGTAACACAACCACTATTTGCAGTAGGCAAGTTGTGGAAAGTCGGATGGGGACTTGATCCTCTAGACCAGTTCAATGCTTACCTGAAGAAAGGTTCAGCAAAAGTGCCAGTGAGGTTTGCAAGAAACTCAACAGTGACGGACCTCAGGATCTACAGAGCACAAGTGACGGTTGAAAGTGATGAACCACAAGTGAGAAAGCTGACGTTGGTCAAGCAGAGGGAAGATGATTTCGAGAAGATGAAGTATCATCAAGGATGGTTTTTCATGTCAGATGGGAAGCCAGCAAGAATCGATTATGACAAGTATGTGACCTATGACCTCACATATGATGATGTGAAAGCGTTCAAGTTCAGAACTACTTTGGTATCGAGGTACGATGGTGACAACATCGTATGGAGCGAACTGGAGTTTGTGGAGTGCGCTGAGAAGTGGGAAGACCGAGAAGAGATTGCGATAGACGCAGTTGAAGAGAACTCGGTGATCATCACGATCTTGGAGAGAAAGTCTCTAGGACTTGAAGAGTATGATGATTATGAAAGAACATCTGCAAAGAAGACAAAGAAAGAGCAAGAGAAAGAAGTGGAAGCAGCAGACGTGGAAATGGAGGTTCACAAAGAAGTAAAAGACACAAAGAAGAACATAGAGCAAGTGGAAAAGGAAGCAGCTGAAGCGATGGAAAACCTGTTTCCTAGTGAACCGCCTGCAGAAGAAGATATGAAAGGATGGAAGAAAATTGAAGAGCAACTGCCAAGGTTAGGAGACAAGATGGAAGAAGCTATGATTATGGCAGGAGTTGAGCTCAGCCCAGAAAGTTCACTCAAGGAGATGAGAACAGCATGTGAATTCCTGAAGATAGGAAAGACTGGAAGCAAGACTCAGATAGGGCAAAGGTTGAAGCAATCTATTTCAGCAAACAAGATGAAAGAATTGGTCGAGATCTCCAAAGGACTAGAACTAGAATTCACAAGAGAACCAAAAGGAGAAAAGAGACCAGAAATGCCAACTGAGGAAGAAAGAAAGAAGCACGAACTGACGCACCTACCAAAAGCTGACTGTTCTCCGTAACCGTTGTGTTTAGGAAGGGCGCTGTGAGCGAAGTTTACAAAACTCAGTCCCCTCATCAGAAATTTTATTGCCCAGAAGATATATTGGGCAAACGGAAATATCGGCGAAGGTATAAATGCACCGACAGTATCCCCGAAGAATATATGGGGTATAAATTCTCATATCTTGCTTTCGCCTCTTGTGACTCCAATCAAATGTATCCTCGCCTCTTCATGATAAATATCTAAAGAGATAGCAACTGCCGAAAGGAGCACGCAGGATGTTTTCAAACGGGTGGCGGCAGGCTCACGCAGGCATCTAATTCTTGAACAGGTCTTTGACGTGTCGGAAAGGCGCACCTGTGTGCCTGTGCCCCCCTTCCGCAGGCCGGCACGTCACCAAGGAGACTTCTCTCTCTTTCTCTTGCCTCTGAAGCGTGGCCTGCCACCGACCGTGTCGCGGATGGAATCCACTTCACGGGTGCTCAGCTGTGCAAGCCTGGCTTCGTAAAGAGTGTGAAGAAAGGAAAGCGGCAATTCGGAGTACTGCACTGGGACCCGCAACTCCTCAGAGAAACGGTCGAAGATTTCGTTGGTTAAATCATCGGCCTCCTGATTTTCGTCCCGGGGACGCCATCCCAAGTTCAACCGCAAGCCGGCCTTCATGAGAACATGGGTGAGCTGCATGTTCACCATGAGCAAGGGCCAGCGCGTTGTAGAACCCTTGCGAGTCAAGCCCTCGTTAGACTTATTATCCGTCTGAGCTAAAACCTCAACCTTCATCAAACGCCTAGTTGGTCCGGCTTCAAGGTGACCGAAGATGTGCAATGCGGCCAGCGTGGCCAGCAGTTCAGCCGATGCCGAAGCCCACTGACTATGACCTTCTGAGTCAAAGAGGTAAGGGGCCTCTGAAGGAGCAAGTCGAAGTGAGAACCACCTGGACTCCTGAGTTGTGCCTGCGCAATCCCAACCCCCAAGGACCACGTACCCGTCCGCACACTTTGCATGAGTGCGGAAGGCCACGCCTGCCCTCTTGACCGATCTTGCTGCGGCGACCTTGAACGTCATGTCCCTGAACGTGAGGTCAAGATATTCAAGAGTAAGGATGACGGTATCGGGCATCCGAGCGACTGAACTGTCGTTCACCGCTGCCCTCCAGCTGTAAAGCGGTGCAAGGTGTGCCTTAAGCCAAACTAAAAGCCGAGCAACGAAGCCCAGTCTACCTAAGAACTCAGCAAACTTGCGAACCGACACAACAAACTTCGAGGACCGGGCCTCAGCGATCCATTTCAAGAGCCACTGGCCCCGCGATTCCGAAATTCCAACCCTCTGGTCTGGATAAGAAAGTTCGTAACCCACAAAAGCCGAAGTGAGCCCACCGCGGAACTTCTTGTATGCGAAAGGTGTGCCAAACATCTCGAAGCATGCTAGCCACATGAGCAAATGATGAAATTTCTCCCTTCCTGCGAAGTTGGCGTGAACATCATCTACAAAGATGAGGTGATAGAACCACAAGGTCAACAGAAAGCGTGCGGTGCAGCGGCCGATGACTCCGAACAATCTAGACCAAAGGAAGGCGGATGATGATATACCGAATGTTCCTACTTTGTTGTACCAAACGACCGGCGTGTCGTTGCGCACCTTACAGCACAACAAAGGCCAGTCAGCCTCTCTGACAAGGAACAACCTGTGAGCCGCCGTCACATCGCCGGTGAGGCAAAAGGTGGCCTCCTGACTCTGCTTTGCGCTACGCACAAGGTGAACTACTTCCTGGGGTCCGGGATTAGATTGCTGATTAAGTAGCCTAATACCATTGTTGACGTGCACACCGTGGGTGCCATCGTGTAACGGCCGAGCGGAGCCGTCTGGTTTAATCAAGGAACCTAAAGAAGCTATCCTAACCCTATCCCGCCCGTACTTTTGCTCAAGAACCGGTAAAGTGGAAGGCGCCATGCGCCCAAGAGCCTCTTCCTCTGCAAACTTCTTCTCAAGCTGATCCGATGTTTCGTTTGCCGACGAATAATTCTCGCGATGCCACTCGGCATCCGATTCATCGAGCTTGCGGGACTTGTATTTGTACTCGTACACCTGTGGCAAGTGAGGCGCGGGGCAGTCATAACCGATCGCGACCCCGCTGACATAGGAGTCCTCCTGGCAGGAAACGGCTTTCCAATCTGGGTCCTGCAACAGCCGCGCTGTCGCAGACACAGCATGCAAGAGGAATGGCTGGCCACTCGGCACCACATCAAGATCCGTACACTTGCCTCCCGAAGCAGCCTCTATGCAGCTAAACCACTCTTTCCTAAGGATCCCTAACATCTCTGGAGAGAAAGGTGATTCCTTAAGGCGGCCTAGTGCAAGCTCCATCGCCGTGCGCCTGACATCAGGCACAACGTCCGCTACAAAGTCTCGAAGCACTTGATGCATGGCAGTGGCGAACTCCAAAGCCTGTTTGGGCAGCAGGCCCCCCCTGGATTCCGGAGGCCATCTAGTGGGTGAGCAGAGCCCAAAGCCATCCGTGATCGGCTGAGTTTTGCCGTCCCACTCGAGGTTCAAAGGCAGCCCGATGTTGTGGCACTCCTGATGCTTGAAGGGCTCCGGTCTTTCGGCCTCGCCCCCCTCCAGCACCTCCGAATCATCCGACTGGACCGCCTCAAGATCAACACTGGGCTCTTCGCCCGGAAGGACGAAACCCTGCCCGCGAAGAAGCGCGAGATCCTCGTCGCATGCCTGAGTATGCTCCGACACACTGAAAGCTATGATGACTAATCTCTTACCTTTCCAGGGCATTGTGAGGTGAAGATCGCGGTAAGCATGTATGTAAGTGGGTGTCTCACTGATCGGAAGGAGGTGACCACTTAAGCGTTTACCGTCAACTATCTGAACAGACTCACCACCCTGGGCCTCGACCCAGATCTCTCCTCCTACGAAGTCAGTAACCCCGATTATCCCATTGGGCAAAGGTGCGTTCCTGGAGTCTTTGTGGGGCTTGGTGCCAGTGTTAAGGTAAAGGCTAATCGTGGTAAAAGGGTGCCCGGGCATGTTGCTACGCACGAATGCGGCCAATGCTTCAGTGGAAGCCGGGAAGCCTTTGCACGCGGACCTGAGCCCGATCAGGCCTCCACCCTGCCGGTACAAGCCTGTCGAAAAGCTGCTAGGAACCCAATTGGAGGACACCGCCGACCTAGGCGGAGTCTCATGCGGCAGCAGTTTGAAGAGAGCATGAACCTCGGCCCGAGTCGGGGCCCTCGATGAAGAAATGATGCGTGCAAACTCCTCGGCTTCAACATGTTTCTTAACCCCCCTAGGTGCTGCCTTCGGCTGCGGTTGCCCCGAAGAGTCTGGCGACGGCAACAAAGTGGAAGGAGGTGCTTCCGACTCGATCAAGCCAACCGCCTCTACCCTATCTGTAACCGCCTCTACCCTATCGGAAACCACCTGATGCAGACCCTGCGGCACTTCACATAAATCCTGATGCACCTCCTGCGTCGCCTCGTGGGATTCCTGCTGCACCTCCTGTGGCAAAACCTGAGGCGCCTCACAAGACTCCTCCTGGAGCACCTCCTGCATTGGACCTGCCTCACCTGGAACGAAGCTGTGCGACGCTGACCCAAGTCCCCCATGCGAAGCGGAAGCAAGCACAGCATGCGCAAGCCACTCACACAACAGAGGAGGATAGGCTGCCGATGACTCGGTCGCCCAGCGGGTGCCTTCCCGGCCTGCAAGTACCTTGTCGTGTTTCCCGTGCGGGCAACGTGGCGGCAACGGCCCCACGTAGCGATCGCTGGAGTCGAAGCGTGGCCATGAAGCAAAAGGCGGAGGCTGCTCGACAAAGGCCGTGAGATTAGTGAGAAGGCGGATAGGTTTAGAAGTGGGAGCCTCAAAGCTACACTGAAAGAATGCAAAAGTGATGGCCTGAGTGGAAACCTGGAGTTCACGCAGAGCTGGTAGTTGCCAAATGGAAGCTGGTAACTCGTGATCCGGAGTCGCACCGAGATCCTCCGGGTGCTCAAGGACATACTGCCATGCAAGTTGACATGCCGTCACGGTCTGATCAAGAAAATAATTAGCCTGCTCCACCTGCTGCGCGTGCAAATTGCTCAACCATGGAAAACCTCGAGGATAAAATGCTGAACGTAGTGGCTTTGGCCCGGGGTGGCGGTGCCGGACTCTGGAAAATGTCTCACAAGGAGGAGAGGCAATGAGGATCCAATCCCCTTCGCCAAGCAACTGAAAGATGTGCTGCCACAATCCTTCCTTAGTCAAGTCATGCTCTGTGGAGCGCTGAAGATCGAACTGAAGAAGGTTAGTGACATTGCCCAAAGACTGAAGGTAAGAGCCCACATCACCTTTGCGATGTGGCCCCGCGAAAATGTAGAGCACACGAAGCCCGCTCGGACTGTACAGCTGAGGCTGGTAGGCGATGTGATCTGATGTCTCAATGGTAGAAACCGAATCATGCGATAGTCACTCCTTGGGCTTGCCGGTCTTAAGCTTGTGCTCGGTCGCTGAGTGGGGCTGATAACAGCCCTTGACCCGGCACACGGGCAAGCGTTCGCATGATGGATTGGTGCAGCCCTGCGAGTTGAATGCAAAGCAGATGTCGCGGCCCTCCGGTGTGCGCCAAACCAACTGAAGGCCCTTAAGTGCCGGGTCCGAGGGGCTTTTGCCGTTCTTGCCCCCCTTGGAGTCTTTGCCCTTGCCTCCCTTTCCCGTCTTGCCTCCGTCCTTGCCGTCCTTGCTCTTGCCCTTGCCTTTGTGCCACTTGCGTGGTCGCTCAATGATGGACAATGCGAGCGGCGTCGTGAAGTAGGTCTCCTTAAGCTCCGCTGAAGAAGTGACTGAAGCCAGAGCGCCTGCCAGAGTATAACCCTGATCATTGACCAGACGGAAAGCCTCCTTGCGCAACCGGTGCTCATAGGCCAAGACTACTTCCCAAGGGGGCGAAAGTGAAGGCACATCGGCTGGCTGATGAGACGTAGGCACTGAGAGCTGGGCGACCTTTTCGCCAAGGATGTAGTTCACGAAGTGGTCGAAGTCAGACAGCTTGAGATCCTGAAGCCACTGCTTGGATTTGAAGCGGGATGCCATGCATAGCCATGTGAAAGCTTCCACGCGAAGGACCTTGCGATAAGCTTCAGTAGTAGTCGGAAGCTCACTCTTGGATTTGTGCTGAGTAATATGAATCCGCCCCGAAGCGTCAAGGCTGGACTGGATGCTCGTGGTAAGCGTGTTCTTCTTAGAAGTTATGGCATCCAAGGTTGAAGCCTGAGGCTCATTGGCTTCGCACTCCTCGCACTTGAGAGCGAGGTACTCAGACGATGGAGTCTCCGACTCTCCCAGCTGCCCGTGAACGGCCGCTACTGCCTTGAGCATTGCTTGCCTCTCTGTGACTTGCAAGATTCGCGGCTGGCCTAACACTTTCGCCTCTGCTCGCGTTTCCGTCTCTTTGCTGATTACGTCGTGCGCTAGTTCCCATGCAGCGACGACCCCCGCGATTTGTTGTCGCCCTTCTGCAGCCCCATCATCCAATCCGAAGTCCGCCTTCCCAGCAGCCCGAGCTTCCGGCCGGGAATCGGCGATAGCCTGGAATCGCCTAAGTGTTGTATGTCGTTGCACAATTCGATACTGGGCGTCCAGAGACAAGCCAGCTTCTCCGAGCACAAACTGCAAGTCGCTATCTGCTTTGGTTATGAGCTCGCGCTTCTCGGCATCTGTGGCGGCCATTGCGACAACAGAAACTAACTCCAGCTACTCCTGATGCGAAGGCCGCGCTCCCGCCTGTGGCCCTGTAGGACTTTGATTGCTAGCCGCCCTGAGGCCTTTAGCTGCACTGCGATGTGTCCACCCGTCGCCCTGAGGCCTGTGACAGGATGCGGAATCCGTCGGCACCTCACGGCCTGCGCCGAGTGAGACTTCTTCCTGCTTGAACAGCGCCAGCACGTGCACTTAATCAGCATGAACTGTTATCGCGGATCAACTTCAAGGCGCCCCTGCGAAATGTCAGCATGGACTGTTATCGTGGATCTACTTCAAGGCGCCCTTGCATACGCAACTCATGCCAGCTTCCGGCTAGGACTTGCAGGGCACAGCCTATACACAGCGGTCGAAATCATCTTTTGCCTTCACATCGACTCGCTCCCACTGTCACTGCTGGAGGGGTCTGATTCCTCCTCTCCGGCCTGAGCCTTCATTCTTGCTTTGCAATCTTTGCAAATGCTATCGACGTCCTCCGCGCCGACGTGATTGACAAATTTTACATCGTAACAATTCTCAGGCTTGACATAGCAACCCAACATGTGCAAACGCCTCAGGCCTGTGGTGCGAGAGGTAACGATGAAGTAATCCCCCCGGCTGCCTGGCATCGAGACCTGCTCGACTGGAGAAGGTGGTGCCGCAACACCCACTTCCAATGCCAGAGTTGGCCACGATCCGCCCAAGCCTTTTGATCCCTCGAGGAGGGTGTGACGGCGACGAACCTGAGATTCGCTCTCTCCAGCCTTAGCTGCATAGTCCGTCAAAGCCTTGATGGAATCCACCTCAATGTAGTGCTTAGGCTGTCCGGTGACAAGAGAACAGGCAATGTGGTTCTGGAGACGATGCACAACCTGCCTAGAAGTGCGAATGTATGTTGCAGAACCTTCGCCACCTACCTTCCAGCGACCCAGATAATCCAGCTCCCTGGGGTCGACATCGATGGCCGCTCCGACCGAGCTAAGGAAGTTCCTCGCAGAGTGGCCCGTAAAATGACTCGAAGTGTATCCTGGGAGCAGTGGACGCTGATCATTGGCCTTCCAGGTGCGCCCCTCACGCTTGGGCGTCTTCAATTCACTGAGAACTTTGCGGAAATAAAGGGCCACCGTGGAGGCAGGCACCGACTTCTCAAGGGGTTCCGTGAAACCTTCATTGGCCTTCAAAACCAAATAATCCCTCTCAAAATCGAAATCCTTCCAAAGTGCATATCCGGCCTTCAGCCAATCATGCCCTGTCAGAGAGATACTCCGTTCCACGAAGACCTTGACGGTGTGGGTCCTTTTGTCGGGCCCTGTGGTCTTGGACCGTGCGAGATCAATGCTAAGCCCTCGCTCGTCCAGAAGCATGGTCTGCGGCAGGAGCCCCTGAACATCATCGGCCCGAAGTGAGCCCCAAACCATCAATAAGCATACAAAGCCCAATGCCCTCAAGTAACTCGGCTCCCCAGGCGTGCAGATGAAGATCTCACATGCGAGAACGATAGCAACGGTGAGCATGCTGGCTGGCTGCTCCGGCGGTGCCGCCGAAATCAAATCAGCTGTGTAACTTTTGAGCTGCGCCTGCCATGTGGGATCCTGAGATATCTGCTGCGTAGACGGCACGCGCCCTACACCTTCAAGTACACTGAGAGATGCTTGCAGGCTTTCGAGAACTGTCTTTCCACATCCTTCCCGGAATCGTTCATTGGCATAGTCTAGCACATCAGCTACCCCTTCCGGATAGCTTCTGCCACGGCTATAAAGCAACCATTCCCGAAACTTATCCCAAGCCCTAAAGCGATTCCTCAATGTCTTGGAGCGGCGGGTCCCGAACAACCGTGGCCAAGCTTCCTCGGCATTGCTGACCCCTGCAAGCACCTTGCACACCGGCAGTTGCGCCTCCTGTATGATGGCTGCAAGACGCAATGCATACTCCTGCCGAAGTCGTGTCTCTTCCGTGGCCCTAGCACCGCGATCTACGACCCTATCAGTAGCTAACTTTCGCTTGCGAAGAACCGGAAGCAACGCGAGTGGACTCTGAAGTGCGATCTGATTGTAATGCTCATGCAGGCTAAGGCCAGTTCCCGGGACACTGGGCAAGCACTCTGTCAAGCGCCTCCTTGCTTCCCTGCGCCCACTGGCTACCAATCGGGAAACATCAGTATGCCATTCAAGAAGAGCATCTGCGATCAAGGCAACACTGCTTTCCAGCAAAGTTTTATCACAACTCCTAAGCAACTCCACGAGCTCTTCTCTAGCGTCAAAGGATGCATGAAGCTTCTCTGGCGCGCCAAACCACTCTTCGAGTCGACCGCGGTAAGGCTGCACGAGTGCGGGCCAGCTGAGACCTGCACCACTCATGGCCGTCCCTGGGCCGCAAGGCTGCCCTGTTACCGCGATCTAAGACCTGAAGTTTGGAGCTGCTAAGCATGTCCACTGTCCAGTCATGCGTCACAACGATGCTTGTGAGAGCTAGTCCCTATATAATCAAAATTTTCTCTGCTCCTGAGCCTGAGCTCTGCGTCCGTGATAAGCATTGAGACTGTGCGCGCACTCAGCTTCTGGCTCAATTCTGAAAAGCGCACGATACGTAAAATGAAATCGAAACTCAAAACTGCTAAATAAAACTTTTCTCTTCGAAACTGCGGAGATCTTCGAGATGGTCTATTCAAGGGAACTCCTCCTACCCACAGAGACACCCCGCCCCGCCCACCCAAAACGTTTACTCTAAACAGTGCCGCCGGGCAAGCCCGGCTAGGCTTGGTGTGAAAGCTGTCAAGCAACAAGATCAAGAGAAGACAATTTCGATGTATCTGAGAAGAAGAATGAAGCATCGTTAGTCTCAATGGATTTCAAGTTCACTGGAACTCGAGATGAAGAGAACACGAAAGACAACAAAGATGCATTGACAATCGGACTTGTGATGGTTGATGAAGCAACAAAGTTCGTACATGTCATTCCAGTAGCGTCAAAAGAAGTGACGGCATATGTTGTCGAAGAAGTCTGTAGAGTACTTATGCTGTTAAATTCGAAGGTCATTCTGAGAACTGACACAGAACCAGCAATGATTTCTCTGAGAAAGAAAGTACAAGGAATACGGAAGATGAAGAATCTTGATACAGAGATACAAGATGTAGCACCAGATGAACACCAAGGATTGCAAGTTGAGAGATGGGTTCAAACAGTTCGGAACTTATCCAAGACACTGGTGTATGGAGTTGAATCACAAGCGAAAGTGAAGATTACTTCAGAAAGTACGCTGTATCCATGGGCAGCAAGACATGCAGCATTCCTGCTGAACAGGTTTGTTGTGAAGAAAGGATCAACACCTTTTGAAGTGCTATTCGACAGAGAGTACAAAGGAACATTAGCGCCATGGGGAAGCGTAGTATTGGCAAAGCCTGTACCAAAAGTCAAAGAAAAGGGAGAAGCATGGAGAAAAGGAATCTTCGTTGGAAAAGACTCGGTGAACAACCTGAATCTGATAAGCACAAGACAAGGAATCATCAAGAGCAGAACGATAAGACAGTGTACGCCACTGTATGATGTCGAAGTGCTAGCAGAAGCAACAGGAACACCGTGGAACTACACACAAGACATGTTGGTAGGAAGAAAATCGACGAAGCGATTGCCACCACACAGTGGAATCGAGATAGCAACTGGTGACAAGCCAGAGTTGGTTCCAAGAAGAGAAAGAAGTCAAGAGCAAGAAGATGAATTGAAGGATTATAGCCCAAGTCAAGAAGCAGCATCTGATCCGCCAAGCGAGACTGAACAAGACATGGACGAAGATCCAGGTGAAGGACATCCAGGATCAACAAGCAGCAGTTCAAGCAGTCGTGGAAAAGGAGTCACGAGAAGAAGAAGCGAAAGAAGTGATGAATCGGAAGAGCTGATTACAGGAGAGAATCCACCGCCAGCATCGCCAAAGAGGAACCTTGAAAAAGGCGAGCAGCCAGAAGCGGTGAGACAGAAGATGGATGAAGGAACGACGCAAGTCGAAGAAAGGCCAGAGAAGTTCATGGCCATAGGAGATGAATCCTCGGGACAAGCATCAAGTTCGGTAAGAAGAGTTATCGACATGAGAAGTGTAAAGAAGATAGAACCATTCCTGAGGAAAGAACTTCCGCAATGTCACGAGGACGAAGAAGTCGAATTGGAAGAGTTTGAAGAAATGGAAGCAGAGTTCGATGAAGAAGAAGAATGGCAAGAATCAGATGGTGAAGAAGAGATACCAGAAGATACACCAATGGTCGAACGATTTCGAAAGCGGACCACCAAAGTTAGCAGATGAAGAAATGGAGAAAGTCGAAGGAGTGTCCAAGAAGCACGAATTGGAAAGACTTGAGAAGATGAAAGTGCTGAACAAGTTGCCAAAAGGAACAGATGTTTCGAAGTACAAGTTTCTTTCGACAAAGATAGTGTACGATTGGAGGCACAGGGACAAAGAATGGAGAAGAAGAGGACGATTAGTAGCAAGAGAGTTCAAGTGGTTAGGTGATACAGACATTGCAAGTTTGTTTTCGCCAACCGGTGTAGCAAGCACAGTGAAGCTATTGTCAGCCCTGTTCGCATCTTCAGAAGGGTACACACTCGGCAGTATTGATGTAGGCGACGCCTATTTAATGGTGGAGCAGGAAGAGCCGACGATTGTCGAAGTCGATGGAGAAATTTATGAACTAGGGTATACGTTACCCGGACAAAGAATCGGAAGTGCAGCTTGGTTCGGAAAACTGAAAAGCTACCTCGAAGAGTATGGGTTAGCAAGTGATAGTGGACTCCCGGCACTATTCTCAAGGAAGCCAGACAAAGAAGGATTCGGAATAATCGTGCTGAGTCATGTAGATGACATGGAGCTATATGCGTCAAAAGAAGAATTCAAGAAGTTGGTCGAATTTCTGAGAAGCAAAGGATTGAAGATCAAAGTGGAAGGACCAATGGATGAGAATGAAGGATCAATGAGTTTCCTGAAGAGAAGTTTCAAGTCAATGGGAGATGGAAACGTAGAGATCACGATGAACTCAAAGTACATCGAAGGACTGGTAGAAGTGCTCAAACTGGAAGGAGCATACCCGAAGAAACTACCGTGTCCAGCGGACAATGGAAGATCGTTCCAAACAAAAGAAGGTGGAATGGAACCACTGAGTACAGAAGATCACCACACGTTCAGAAAAGGAGTAGGAATCTTACTGTATCTCGCGCCCGAGAGGCCAGACATTATGTACGTCTTGAAGAAACTGTCAACAAAGCTCGCATCACCCGTTGAAGCAGACATGGAACTGTTAAGGTACGTTGGAAAGGATCGCCAGAACTCGCACTGGTACATCAAGGAAGTTACCCTGGTAAAAGTTTCCTCGAAGTGAAGAACAGAAGCGAGAAAGGAAACGAAAGGGACAACTACAAAGTGCCAGCACTCATAGAAGTGATAAGCGACAGTGACTGGGCAGCGGACCGAGAGTCAAGACAAAGCGTTTCATGCGGAGTGATCATGGTGAATGGAAACCTGATTCATTTCCAAAGCAAGAGGCAGAAAAGCGTAGCATTGTCATCTTGCGAAGCTGAGACAATCGCAGCGACATCGATCTTAAGCGAAGGTGTATTCCTGAAAGGATTGCTGACAAGAATCCTAGGAGTTGAGCCAAGACTGATGTTATACAGTGATTCGTCAAGCTCAAGACAGTTGATCTCAAGAAAAGGCTTAGGAAGAGCACGCCATTTACAAGTGGACCTTTTATGGATCCAAAGAATCCCGAAGCTTATCATAAAGGCGATAGCAGGTAAGGACAATCCCTCAGACCTAGGGACCAAATCCCTGACACGGGAGAAGATACGAAAGTATATGCTAAGCCTAGGATACACAGGTGAATTTCTGACACCAAGTGATCAAGAAGTTCAAGAAGCTGAAGTGAGAAGGACAAGAACAAGAAGTGTTCCAAGATTTGATGAAAGGATGATTACAAGGATTATCCAGACGGTTACGACCGCAGTGCTGATATCATTAGCTGAAGCAAGAAGATTTGGTGAAGAAGGAGAACAAGGACTGGGAAGAGCAAGTGTAGTTTGCATACTGTTGTGCATGTTCATGTCAGCGATTATGCATAAAGTTGCAAGCGCAGCCGTTTTGCTCAAGAAAGAAGTCCTGAAGAAAGAAGAAAAAGAAGAAGGTAGGACAAGAGCAATGGCAGATGACGAAGCAGTCAAGTATATGATCACAGAAGCCAGCAAAAGCATCGAGGCTACCACTTACCTCGAAAAAGTGCTCAAGAGAGAACGGTCAGAAAGACCAAGTGCTGATATCCTCTGGAAGGAGGTACAAGAGATCAATCAGAAGTACGAAGTCAGATCTACTGAAAAGAAGAAGGAAGAGCAGCCAGAGAAAAAGGAGGAAAGTGAAGCAGCGTCGGATCCAGAGTCCGATGAGTCCAAGGAAAGCGAGTCTGCAGAGAAGGATGACGAAGAAGAAGTGCCAGAAGACAAGAAGGAAGAAGATTTGGAGACGTTCAAGAAAACTGCAGAAGAATTGGCAGAAGAAGCAGAAAGGTTGAAGAAGTCTCAAGAGGCTAACTTCGCAGCGTTGAAGCAAGGAAGCATTCGGATACCAGAAGACGTCCAGGAAAGGATCAGAGAGCAAGGAGAAATTATGGACGAGAAGGTACGGCAGCTGGAGGAGATGAAAGCAGCAGCCAAGGAAAGAAGAGAAGAAGTTACGGCAGAAGCGGACGCCGTTGTGGACCAGAGAGAAGAAGAAGAAGCTCGTGAAAGGGAGCAGCCAGCAGAGAAAGAAAAAGAAAAGGAGCAGCCAGCAGAGAAAGAAAAAGAGAAGGAACAGCCAGCAGAGAAAGAAGAGGAAAAGCAAGAAGAAGAGAAGAAAGAGGATGGACTGCCGACAGAGAAAGAAGAAGAAAAGGAGGCAGTAAGCCAAGTTCAATCCTCTGATGAGGAAGCTCGAGAAGCAAAAGAAGCCCTCAGAAGCGGATTCAACGTGGACACAATGTCGATATTCCCGACAGTCATGGGACAAGTAAATATCGAAAGCATTCGGCAAGCAATGCCATCATCTACGTTAGAAAGAGAATTCGTGACGTGGCAAGAGCAGATGAGGCGCCCCGTTGCAAGACTTCCGTTGGGGTACGGAATAAGGACCTCAGACTTTTTAGCAAAAGTGGAAGACGATGTGCAAGAATATATGGAAAGCATGTCGACGCTCACCGAGGACGAGCGTAAAGCAGAAGAGGCTTACAAGCAAGCCAGAGAAGAGATGGACCGATATGAGAAGGAACTCAAGAAGGAGATGAGAGAAAAGCTCGAGGCAAGAATGAAGAAAGTCCGAGAACTTGAAGAAGATGCAGTCGCAGCAAGAGGAGACGTTGAGAAGACGAACAATGTGAAAAGTGCGTTAGATCAGCTAGGTGGAGTTGTACAAGTGGCAGACAAGCTATTGTCAGCCCTAAGTGAAGAGTTCAAAGACCTAGACTTGTACAAAAGGCCAGACCCAGACAAGGAGAAAGAAAGGCAGGCCTTAGCAAAGCTTATGACGATGATCAAGAAGAAAAGCGAAGGAAGCAACCCGTCAACACCGGCAGCAAAGATCAAAGCAATGCCGAAGAAATCACCAAGCGTTATCAAAGAAGGACTTACAATCTCTCAAGAAGAGATAAAGGCAGCGAATACGAAGGAAAAGCAGCTGGAGTCGAAGCGCAAGCTGAAAGAGAGTTTCGCAGAAGCGACAGATGAGATGATTGACAAAGCAGCAAAGGCAAAAGTTGATCATGTTGTCTCACTGCTCTGGAGGTCTAAACCTTCGTAAGACCAAAAGCGGATCGAACTCTTTTTCATTCAGTGGGGCCATCCTGAAATCGGTGTCAAGGCAGCTAGGACATATGTATGGAAATGCTGGACGCCGACTGCAATTGCAGTGGCATGCACAAAGACATCAGGCTTGCTGACTGCACGCGTATGCTGTTAGGCAGAGCACATCAAGTGCCGGCACTTGCTGCGGTGGCGGGGCGGCGGAGGCCCAGAAAAGCTACGAGATTCGTTTGACAACATATGCGAAGTCATGTTGTCTCACTGCTCTGGAGGTCTAAACCTTCGTAAGACCAAAAGCGGATCGAACTCTTTTTCATTCAGTGGGGCCATCCTGAAATCGGTGTCAAGGCAGCTAGGACATATGTATGGAAATGCTGGATGCCGACTGCAATTGCAGTGGCATGCACAAAGACATCAGGCTTGCTGACTGCACGCGTATGCTGTTAGGCAGAGCACATCAAGTGCCGGCACTTGCTTCCAACCCCACCCACCCCGGAGGAGTAGGGGGCCGGCGGCGGGTCATTACACCACTCGAATAACTCGGCGGCACAGACGAATGTACAAGTAATGGCCAAATGCGCCTGCCATGGAGCTGGTGACCGTGAGCAGAAGCTGCGTCAACAAAGGCCAAGAAAGCTGAGCAGGGCACTGGCCATGGCCGGCCGAGAAAGGAACCGTGACGGCATCACTGGCCTGTTGCAGAAGTTCTTCCAGCAGCTGCTCGGCGAGGTGACCCACCAGGTGGAGCACACGCCGGAGCACGAGCCGTGCGACAGCTCCAAGCAAGCGGGCCAGCACCACGACAGCCAGCGGCTTGGCCAAAAACAGCAGACAACTAAGCAACAGCCAGAGCCTGGCACTGTTGGGCAACGCTACGAGCTTGGCACGAGCTTGCCGGAAAAGCCGCAACGGAAGCGGCACTGCGGCGCGGCGGGCAACGCGACACGGACGCTCAAGCAGAGCAGCGTCCTCCACTGCAGCCGGCGGCTGCGCGTCGGGTGCAACAGTCACATCCGAAGCCATTCTTGCAAACTTTTCAAACCGCTTGTCCTCAGGATAGTGGCGACCGGCACGGGTCAGCCAATCAGCAGTAACATCGAGGTAGCGAGCCCCTTCAAGCGGCCCTGCACGAACCACGGCTTGCTTAAATCTGTGACGCCATCCGTCCATAAGCACTGACGGCCGCTGCTGAGGTCCCGAGTTCGCGCGGGCCCCGCACACGCACCGAAAGCCGCTGATGCGGAAGAAGTGTCTGCAGGACTTGAGTTGAAGGCTCGAGCAAGAAGAAGGCTTGCGTCAACAACAGCTGCAAAAAACGAGTCTGCGGGGCAGGTACCTGGAGAAGCAGTTGCTGTGCGGTGGCAAACTGTATGTAATGGAACAAGCTACTTTCACTAGCCCAGCGTCCCAAAAACTTTAAAGCCCCCAAAGCGACACCGGACTGGAACCAGTAGCTGGCGCCGCCAGACCGCAGACTGGCGGGAGTCAACTTGCAACCCAGAAGCCCCAAGCTGGCACACACGATTTGAAACCGCTTCCGAAAAGCAGACGTCGACGACGGCCACAAGAACTGATCTGGGGCCAACGTGTTGACAAAGTGCATCAACCACATGCAGACACAAGGATGTGTAAGTTGCACAAACTGCTCAGGGCCTACGCTGCGCCTATTCTTAGGTTTGGCGACCCGCAGCGTGCAGTGCGCAAACCCCAACGACAAGCTGTTGAGAGTGCCAACATCTCGAGCGCGTAACGCCAACAACTCCCCAGGGCGGAGCATGGCAAAGAACCCGACTTCAAGCAAGCAGGCGAACACGAACCACTCACGCGCCGAACGCCCGCGCACGCGGCAGCCATGGATGCGAGCGGCGACAACCATGCACAGCAGCAGCGGGAAGGGAAGCGGAACACGAACCTTCTTAGGCTGCAACTCTTCCAACGCGCGCAGCAAGGCCCAAGTCTCCGGCAAACGGTGCCGCAAGCGTGGCCAGAGGACCTGGCAGAAGAGAACAGCATGCTTGGCCAAACGAACTGATCGAGAAGTAGGAGTATCGCAAGTGCGCTGCACAAAAGCCTGGAGCAGGGCATCCGCACGACGGGCACTGCGCATGAACTGTTGCACATCCACCACGTGCTGTGCACGCAAGTACCGAAACAGAACGGCGCCCGAGGCGAGCAGGCGAGAACGGTAAGCAGGACTCAAGCGAGCCAACTTGAAGTGCCACCAACTCGAAGAAGACACCTCCATGCGACGACAAAGGCCGCGTGAAAACCACAGAACTACAAGCGGCACGCTAGCAGAACAAACCCGAAAGTCAACAACCCGAAGAGCCTAAACCGGACTAGGGACTAGGGAGAGGGTGGTCAGGAACTTGTCACGGCCGCAGCGGCTTCTTGACTACAAAAGGCCCACAGCTGCTGCTTGGTCAAGGGCTCTTGAGACTTGAACCACTCGGCACCCAGCAAGGCCAATTCGTCCGGCAAGGGAAATTCGGGAGGTGGAATTTGCTTGAAACGTGATGGGAAATCGGAAGGGTTAGCATGAGTCGATACCCAGACGTTGTAAAGAATCTTTTGCCCGGCGAGACTCAAGGCCAAGCATCTTCGCAGAACGCGGTTTAGGTTACGACTCGAACTTTACCCTTTGCTACCGCACCAAGCACTACCCTTGAATCAGTAAGGTTGACACAGCGTAGCCCGCCTTTGACTTGTGACACAAGATCGGAGTACTCCCTATGTATGACTTCTAGCTCCAAGATGTTGATATGCTGGCGCTTGCGAAAAGGCTTCGACTCCGTGACTGACCACCTGTGCAAGCCCGCCAAGCGCTCGATATGACGGCTAGGAAGCTTCATGTCTGTGAGAGGTGCAATGCCTACGGTAGCCCAGTCCAAACGAACTCGCTCTCCTTTGTGCTCAGCAGCGCGGTGCAAAACCCGGCTCAGAGAGGAGGTGGTGCGTGTAGCACACCGCCCGGCGCCAATAAGACTGGCGTCTGTTGAGCTAAGGCGTCGGCTTACAGGCCAGCGAACGTTTGTCGCAGCGAGCGGCAGAACGAGACAGGCACCGAGCAGTTCTTCGGCCAGCACCTTTGGGATTTTGTGCTCTCCTTTCGAAGGCCAGCTTTCAATAAGGGAATATATTTCTGAAAATATCGACATGCACAGCCGTCTGTGAGTGAAAGGGTGAACAAACAGACCGACGACTTGTTGCAGGCACTTCTTGCTAGCCCTTCCTAGCCTAAGCAACCGACAAACTAGTTGACAGAGCTGGCGAAGTTTGTGCTGCGGTGCTCCAACACGACCGGAGGCACTGCAAACTTCAGTGCCCCACGCTGTGAACTTCGATTGCTTCGTAAACCTCTTCTCCAAAGAGACCGGCACGCCTAATCGCTGATACTGCCGTCTACTCAATCCAATGAGAGTCTCATCTAGGTTCCATTTCGGGTCAGGGTCCTTGCGTCGATGTTTCTTCTTTGGGGTGATTTGCACTACCACATGATCGTCGATGTACAGCCCCTCTAACGTGGGCTCAAGGGGTAGCGGTGACTGGTACTCAAGCACGTGCTCAGGGCGCATAGCGCCACAATCCCGTAACAACTCAACATGGGTCTGCTGGCAAATGTCGACCCCGTTGAGATCACCCATACATACAACTTTAAAGGCCAACACGTAGCGCCTAGAAGGGTCTGCACCGAAACGCTCAAAGAAAGCTCCACTAACAGGTTTGCCAACTACGTTGCGAGACAACCATTCTGGGATATGCTTCAGAAGATAGAAATATTTTTTTAAGTCATCTCCTGACGCTCGCACAGAAAACTCCTTACTGAGCACTAGCTGTGTCAGAAGCGTGCCATGGGGAAGTCTGGCCCACACCAGCCTGCGTTCCGCTTGATTGAAGGGCCTACGGTCGTTGATAACTCTATCACTATGCTCCTTATGCGCAACCCCAAACAACCCTCCTGATACTAACCGGCCGGTTGAGTCGTACAAGGCCTGCTCTTCTGGAAGGAGAACGGCAACACCTGACTGGAGCAGTTTGTTGTACACAGGCACCACGTCACAGGCGCGAACTTTGTGGCAAGCTTTGACCCTGGTTGAAGGCACGACTTCAATGGGGACATGCTTGTGCATCTGAGTAAACTGCTCCAGATGTGATCCTTTGAGGAAATCTGCTGGATCAATGATGCCAGCGCGCTCAGGCAATGACATGCGTTCAGGGCGCACAAATTTGGCCGACTGTTGCATTTCTTGCCAATCGCATGCACCTAAATTATGATAATTACTGGCAACCATCAATTCAACTAATTCGCTGACACGCTTGATGCCTCTACTTGGGGTTTCGGTTACCTCAAGGCTGCAGAATTCAAGCACATCACGAAACATTGCTTCAGCATGACTCGAGTGGACTTCAGTCCATGTGTTGGACAGAGCACGCTGGCACCAAGCTTCAGCTTCGCAGAGCCTGGCGGGGCAACCTGCCTGTAGGAAGTTGCAGTAGCCCCAAAGTAACTGGCACCAGCGTTAAGCCTCCTGAGTCACACCTCGTCCCCGTTGGCGTTGTCGCCACTTCGTCTTTCTAGAAAGGCTGCCCCACCTTCTAAGATGGAAAAGGGACGGGAAAATGCACTCGCCTGACGCAGGCGATGTCCAGGCCCCAGCCTCGCACTTGTCACAGTACGAAGCGAAAACTTTAAAAAACCTTGCAAACGAACCGTGGTAACTCAAGAGCGTCTGCTCCAGGAGTCCACCTGCGGTGTTCTTGTCTTGACCGTCCTCTGCAGTCAAGCTTCGCTTCTCTGGGTGTCTTGCTGCTTGCCTCGCCCTCGACCTTTCCCGGTGCCTCTTTGCTCGGGTTCCTCGCTCTCTGGCGCGGCACCGCTGTCTTGGCTGAGGCTCCACGTCTTGGCACGGCGTTCGAGCTCCTGGGTCGCTCGCATGTAGGCTGCGATTGTCTCCAGGGACTCCTCTTCGCCCCCGAACTTGCGTTTGACGAAGGGGTCTTGGAGACCCGTCAACATCCAGGCAACGTTCCAGTTGCCGCCATCCAAGGCGGTCTGGTGGACTGCGCGCAGCGACTGTGTTGTCAGAAGGGCTGCTTGCTCCGCATTGCCTTTCAGCTGCTGCTCCAGAATGGCCCCGAGCAGAAAGTATACTCTTTGCAATCCTTTCTGCTTTCCCCACGGTATCCTCTTGCCGTGGTCTGTCAAACGGTACGGGAGCTCGCCTGTTACACCTAGGTCTTCTTCGACTTGCCGCACGTATCTGCGCACGTGCTTCATCGGATGTCTCTTCATGTCCTTCTTCATCTGCCTGTAGTCCCCCATGGCTTTTGCCACTCCTGAAGACTTCTTTGGCTTGTGAACGCTGCCCGAGCTGCTCTCGGAACTTGCACTGCTTGACGTCGAAGAACTTGACTCTCTCCTCTTTCTTCTGCTTCGGGCCCCTAGCTGCTTTAGCAGCTCTTGCACATCTAGAGCTTGCAACGGATCCACTCCGCTGCTGGAGGCAGCTCTGCCTAGCACAGTTGCTGCTCCGGCTGGCCTTTTGTCCTTTGTCTCTTGTCGTAGTGAGCCCTTCCGACCAAGGAGAGCGTAACGAGGAGTTCGCTGACTGTGTTTCTCCTTTTTCTTTTTCTTGTCTTTGTCCTCTTCTTCTGAGAAAGCCTTTCCTTGCCAGTGCTTTTGTATCTTTGCGATGTTCTTCAACAGATCCTCTGCACCCATCTCGCTGTCGGCTGAAGACTGGTCCGAGTCGCTGCTGGATTCTTTCGATACAGACGTTGGCTGGACTGCCACCGCGGCATCCTCCGACGCGGTTGTAAAAACCAGGTCTTGGTTGTCGTCCATGAACTTCTCGCCACTGGCCAAGACTTCTGTGGCCTCGATCTCGAGTGCCAGAAAGGCTTGACTGCAATGCTTCTTCAAGGCAGATGATTCGCCTTCCACAATTGTAAAGGCTTTCCCATCCATCTTGAATACCGCATCGTTCTGAGCTCCCTCCCTGTCGAGTCTGACTATGAGCAGGACTCGCTCTGAATCGAGTTTCCGAAGTACGAGGGCCTGCCTCCATCTCGGACCGCCTAGCGATCTGCCGACAGAGGCGTAGCAAGTTGAACCTGGTTTCACTTTCATCGGTGACGCTCTTCACTATGGCATCGGCACTCTAAGATCTCCTCGGGACATCCTGAATTGACCCAGAAAAGCTACGAGATTCGTTTGACAACATATGCGAAGTCATGCCAAAGACAAGCCAAGCGAACCAGAAGGAACGCCACCAAAGAGGCAAGTGAATCCGTATTGGCTCAAAGGCCAAGGGGATCAAAAGGAAGAATCTTTCAAGAAGACAAGATACCAAAACTGCTTGCAGTATATTACTGCAAGCAGTCAGCCGACCACAGAGCCACTGAATGTCCTCTGATGGAACAGGCTGTGCTAATGTATTACAGCGGAGAGCGGCCCGAAAGCAGCAACACCGCTCACGATTTTCTGCAAGGTATGTTATATCTACTTCCAGAAGATGACCGGACGGTCAGATATACCGGCTGGGGTACTCATACCCCAGACATCTGCAATTACAAAGACCAAGTAAGGAGCTATCTGGAAGATAATGCATACAAGTATGAGAAGGAGTTGAAAGATTTCCAAGAGACATTGGGCATAGGATACAAGCCAAAAGACAGTTGGGGAGCAGAACCCAAGAAGCCCAAGAAAAGTGAAGAAGCAAAGGCTGAAGAAAAGACCGTGAAGAAGACAGAAGAAAAAGAGCCAAAGAAGAAGAGGCCAACGGAAAAGTCCAAGAGCAAGGACAAGGACAAGGAGAAGAAATCTGAAAAGACCGAAAAGACAAAGAAGGTTGAAAAGGAGAGCGTATCTCCGTTCGATCAAGCAAGAGCTGAGAGACGCCAGCGAAATGAAGAAGAGCTTATCTAAACTGCGGCGGCGGTTTAAAGAAGCAAGAAGAGTGAGGGCGTTTACAAAGACGCCCAGCAAAGCAAGAAAGTGAGGCTGAAATCAGAGGGCAAAACGTTACCAAAGCTTTGCGAAACTTGGAGAGCTTTGGAAAGAATGGAAATCCCACGGCAATGCAAGAAGCCACAAGGATAGAAAAATCCCACGGCAACGACAAAAGCCACGTGGACAAAAGTTCCACGGCAACGTCGAAAAGCCAATGTTTACAGAAAGGACTAAAGACAAAAGTCCGACAAAAGTTTCCAGATTGCCAAAGGGCAAGGATGGACGACGACTACCTTGCATACAGCGATGTACAGAAAAAGTTTTGTAGGAGCCAGCAAAGCGACTGGCAAAGAAACGTATCAGGAAAACATATAAATCGAATCAAATATCTTTCCAATATAAATCCAACAAGGCTTCGGACTGAGGACTCACCATTTTTCCGGATGTCCAGATCGCGCCGTAACAGCGAGCCGAGACCGGGTCCCCATTCGGGGACCGGCCTCCACCCATAGCTCAAACGAACATCCCACCGGCGCAAGGTAAAGTTCCAGGGTGGGACGGGCGGGACTAAAACTTCTAAGCTCCCTCCTCCGGAGCCTCTATTTCACGGATATAATCGAATCAGTCATCAGAGCACTAAAGCAGTGCAAGTCAACATGAGAAAGCATGTAAACCTACAGCAATCTCATGAAAGAAACGTGCGGAAAATCGGAAAGGAAATCGTATTGATAAAATCAATTAAAACTTTCTTTTGGGGCCCACCCTCCTCCCCTTTGCATCCTACAAACCCCTTTGGGCAAGCCCAAGAAGCTTTGTAGGAGCCAGCAAAGCGACTGGCAAAGAAACGTATCAGGAAAACATATAAATCGAATCAAATATCTTTCCAATATAAATCCAACAAGGCTTCGGACTGAGGACTCAACATTTTTCCGGATGTCCAGATCGCGCCGTAACAGCGAGCCGAGACCGGGTCCCCATTCGGGGACCGGCCTCCACCCACCAACGCGAGGATCGCTTTACCACTTCGTCTTAGTGGCCAACTTCTGCTTCTTTGTCAAAGGAGCTGGTGGGGCACTTCCTTCTCCCCCTTTTCGCCATTCGAGCATCTCAGAATGAAAGCTTGCCAAATCAAGAAGAAGCTTGCACGGCACATCAGAAAACTTCGCATCAATCCGAAGAGCTAAATCGAAGGCGCTGAACCGTTCATTCGTCAAGTCATCTGCCTCGGTATTGAGCTCACGCGGTCGCCAGTTCAAGTTCATATGGCCCCCGCAGCGGAACAAATCGTACTCCAGCTGCATATACACATACGTCAACGGGAACTTCGTGGTTCCCTGGCGGCGCATGACCAGCTCATTCGCCAGGTTGTCGGTCCCCGCAGAGACCGTGAAACTCTGCCCAGTCCCATCCAGCCATCCGAACAAGTGCAGCCCCAGCCACGTGGCCAGAAGCTCGGCAACTGTGCTCATTCCTTTCGCCGTCCCTTGTGCATTGAACAAGAATGGATAATCAGCGGCAGTGACCCGGACAGAGAACCAACGGCACTTCTTTGGCTCAAAGCTGTGCAGAGTTTCCCATCCACCCAGTACGAAGAAATCATCCTCTGCTTTCGCGTCCGTGCGAAATGCTTCGCGAAGCATCAAAGGTGGCGACTTACAGCAGACAAGATAATGCTTCTCTTGCAACAAGGTCAAGATGTAGCGAAGGACCACCATCACCATACGAGGTACCAAGGCCACAGTTCCTGGAGTGATGGCGGCTTTCCAGCGATGAAGCGGTCCCATGAACGGTCGGAGCCAGTACAGAACTTGCCCAGCATAGACCAGTCGCCCCACAAACTCGGTGAAGCGCCGATGCTCAATCATCCCTCGGCCCCTCTGCAGATCCGTGATGAATTCGATGAGCCAGTTCGCCCGACGCTCCGACAGTCCCACTTTGAACCGGAAGTAATCAAAGTAGAAACCAACATAATCCAAGCAAACTCCCCCACGAAACTTAGACCACTTAAAAGGAGTTCCAACCATAAGCCAGTAGAGGAGCACCACCCAAAGGTCGTGGTACTTCTGCTCTCCACCCGCCATGATCTGCAAGTCATCTGCGAAGAGCATTTGGAAAAGCGAGGCCTGCAGTGCAATGCGAAGAGCTCCACGGCCTATCAGCCCAGCCAACCTGGCGAAGTGATAAGCAGCGCAGGCCACACCGAACGTTCCCACCCGGTTAATCCAGATCGGGCCGTCTGGCCTGGCCCGACAACCA